TGTTCAGCGCCGCTTCACTTTGCGATATTTAGCAACAGCCCTTTCATAAAGTCGGGTATCTGCTATGTTCTCACGATTCAGAGTGAACTGGTGGCTTAGATACAGGCCAAGAACCGTCACTAAGCTGGTGAGCACGGCAAATAGTCCAGCTACAATTGCCGTTATGACGGGGACCCAAGGTGTTAGTTGAGCCATCTGCCTTGTGACATTAGAATCTTGCCAAGATCTTGGAGGGTGGTCGCAGGTTAAAAATGCATGTGACCGCTGTATTGCATGGAACCACACAGATGCCTTCCTGGAGCCGTCTTCAAGCCATCCCTTATCTAACCAGCACTTCCATCTGCATTTAACTCACCGTCGATAGAGATAACAATCCTTGCAGTGTATCTTGACTTGGTCGGTTTGTGCCCGTGGCTAGCTGCAGACCTAAGCCGTCGTTAACTGTAGATCCCAATCCTCATCTTCGACCGACCAGTCTTTAACGTAACCCTGCAATCGAGCCAAATACCGTAGTGGCACGGGAATCCGCGGTCTGGCGCTGCGAATAGTTATTTTCGATCTTTCTACATTTTCGCGGGCAACTTGAGCAAATTTTCACATTTTCGCGGGCAACTTGAGCAAATTTTCACATTTTCGCGGTCAGCCTATAAGCACCCAAACTAGGGCTTATTTCCTTAACTTCGGGCCTTTTCTGCTTGCTGCTGTCAGTCTCTAATTTGTCGACATTTTCGCGGACTGGGTCCGCATTTTACCGTTTTTTTCGCGTCGCTCCTTTTCGGATTATTTTCCCGCGAATTCCCATGCCACTACGGTAGTCTTCCAGACCGGAACATGATGTCCCGTTTAACTGTGACTGGTTCTACAAAGCCTATCGCTGCGGAAAAACAGGAAACCCCGTCAGCTCAGGGGCCGTAATAAAATTGAAATGTCGACCCTCCCCCGCCCACCCAAACGGAAAATCTCGGAAAAACGCGAGTAACCAACATACTTTACGATTGAAAATGGACCATACAAACCCTCTTCGACTCCCCCGAGATCGGAAGTGGGCTAGTTGAAGTCCGTCTTCACTAGCCTGCACGGGGGCATGCTAGTGCTTCACAGACCCATTACAATCCCAAGAACGACCCTGAGCGTCCTCCAACGCCTTTTCTGTGAATTGCGCCTCTGTTTTGCTGCGCTTCTGCTTGAGCTGTGCAATGAAAGAGAAGCTGCCCTCTCCTTTTTCAAATAGTTACATGAATGATAGAACAAGTTCCAGTTGAAATGCCACAGTGGAATGAACCTCATGTGCAAAGAAAGATCTGTCAAAACCCCTTCTTTTGTTCACCCAAGGCCTCTCCTGCTGCCAGCTCTGAGTGCGTCTTGTTTGATGTAGTGACGAAAGGGTCGTCCCTGGCCCGCGAATATGCTGGGAGGTCTATCGGCACGAACGGCGAGATCCTGCGGTCTCGTGACCTCTTCCGTAAGTACATCACACACAGTGCAACGATGACACTCGTGAAGGCAAAGAGTGGGAGGAGCTGTTCAAAGGACAAACCCCACTGAAAGAAGGGGACAATGGCCTTGACGAAGCCCACCCCCTTTTGGAAGAGATTGCCCTGGCCCTCTGCTTGCACTCTTGTGACAGTCCCCACCGTTTCTACTGTGCGCAGAGGGGGGATCACTGGACGGGGCGTGGCGCTGGGGGGCGGGTCCGGCTCTGCAGCGACTATCTTGCTGAATCGGTTGATCAGTTGCCGTCCCGGTTCCATCCTCGGCGAGGGCCCAGCGTTCAAGGCCCTCCTGCTGGCTGCTCGGATGTGCTCCATCATCTACTGTATTGTGGCTCTAATTTTATCCATTGGTTGGCTTGCGGCCACTGTACACGTCTGTGATGCTGAGGGCGTACGGGTTGTTTGCTAGCTGTCTCTTTGCCATTTCCAGGTCCGAAAACCTCGAGTGGGGCGTCTCAGCTGGCTGCTTGTAAGAGGTGAGCTCCCCCAACTCTCGAGAGTATGCGACTCTCTGATCGGTAGGGAGCCCCTCTCGCGTGACGAGCCCTGGTGGCTTGTGCCTCGTGTCTCCTCCGATTGTTGCGGCGCTCATCATGCCAGTCAGCCGTGCTTGGGGCCCGGGGCCTTGAGAGCGGTCTGCTCTTGGTGGTGGCAGCTCAACTCTGCCAAAGTTTGGGCCCCGTGGGTTAGGCCCCAGCTTGTTTCCCGCGTAGCTGGTGTCTCCCAGCGTGGCCCGTTCCGTCTGGCGCACCTTCCTGCCGTCTTCTCCCATCCAGTCCCTCTTGACCTGCCTCGTGTGGGCCCCCACAGGATTGCCCGCATACCCCTCGCCTACTGCCTTTGAGCGCAGCGTGCTCCTGAGCACGGCACCATCACGGACTTCCCCCTTTGCTGCAGCAGTGGTGTGACGGCTAGCATTGATGCTCAGTGCGTTCTTGGTGTAACTGTCAGAGACTTGACGAAGGGTCCTCGGTCGAACCATCTCTCCAATCGACCCAATGTGCTCCTCACCCACCGCTGATGCCATGTTTGCAAAGCCATGATCGCCCAGCAGGACCTCCCTCTTGCCTGCCCGGTGCGTGTTTGTGCCATCGGCATAACCCCCAGGGCCGACCACACCTGCATAGTTGACACCTGCAGAAGAGGCAAAGAACGCGTTTGGATCCACGTTCCTGGGGCGCCCGTCCCTCTGCCATGTGTCAAACCTCTGTATGGTGGCGCTCGCGTCCGACCTGCCCGGCGGCCCTGGTAAGTTTGTGATTGGGACAGACCTGCTCTGCTCCTGCATCGTGGAGAGAACGTCAGGGCGCAGCATCTTGCCGACATAAGGGGCGGAAGTTGCAACACCGGGCCTCTTCCTCCCCACATCCATCGACGTCTTTGGAGCCTTGTGCGATGGCACTGCATCGTACCGCGTTGGGCCTTCGGTGATTGGTTGCCCCCCAACAATCAGCCCCCCTGGCAAGTTGTTCCGATACTGCCCCACGTTGTCGGGCATTATGCGGAGGAAGGGGTGGAACCCGCCGGAAGGAGGTGCGTCGGGTGGAAGGCCGATGCCGGGGCCAACAATTTGACTCTGTAAGGGGGCTTCGTTGTTCCTGAATGCGCTCACCGTAATGTGCTCGAGCTGTGCATCTCTTGCGTCTACCATGTTTGCCCCCGTGTTGACGTTCGGGGTGGGCTTAAAGAGGGCGCCGGGCGGCTCATGCGCGTCCCTGTGGCCGAGAGGGTCCGATCCGGTGAAGCTTTCAATCCGACTCCTGCTGTTTGCATCGCTGTGGAACTGCGACTTGCTGCTCCGGAAGAAGGGAGCCGTGGGGGCGCCGTCACCAAAACGGACCATCTTAACCGGCCCTCTCACAACGTCTACCCCTGCGGCACGCCGTTCCTCACGGAGCGGCACTGCATGGGCGCTCATTGCGTCCACACATGCCCTCTCAACACCTTGGATGCTGTCAAAATTCGATACGTTTGGTTGACAAAAGGCATTTGGTTGCAGGTACATGGAGACCCTGGGGTTCTCCATCGAATTCATGCCGTGTGCGTGCCGTGGGTCGTATATATACCTCGCGTCCTCCGGCAGCCTGTACTCTTCGGGGACAGGTTCCTCGAGGGTGCGCTGCTTCCGTTCAAAGTTGAGGAGTCCCAAGGTGGCCAGCCCTCCGATGATGGCCAACTCCATGTGCTTACTCTATCTATAATACAATTATTGCGTGGCTGCGTCCTTTAGGAGGAGGCGCGTGTCGAGGGCTCGATCAGGCTCCCGGTTGGGCATGAGCTGGGGGTTGCAAGGGCCGAGCCATTGAGGCCCGATTCGTTCCACCTCGATGCCCACAGTGTCACCTCTCTGAGATTGGCGGAAGCGGTGGATGGGTGGGATCATGCCTCGGACTGGCATGCGACGCCGGGGCTCTGCTGTCGACGTTGGTGGCAGCTGTGCCAATCCTGGCTTGACTGTCTCCCTGAAGAGGCCCCGGAGGCGGGAGTCGACGTCGATCCCCGGGCGGTCAGGATAGACGCTGGTACAGGTGAGCCCAGAGTCGACATCATCATATGGGCAGGGGCTGTTTGCGGGAGTGGGGAGGGGGCTCAAAAAGTACTCTCCGGGCTTGGTTGACTGGATGACTGCTTGTTCGAGTGCGTATTTGATCCGGACCTGCCCACTGTTCATGTCCCTTATGTACTGTTGCATTTATTATTTGAGCAAGCTGCGCACTCCTCAGTCAGATTGAGGCTCCTCTTCCTCGCCGCCATCTTCAAGTCCTTGCACGGCTACTTGCCGCCACTTGTAGCCTTTAAGAATTGAGCCTTCGGCTAGTGCACGCTTCAATGAAGCTCGTGCAATCCTCATTGTCTTCTGAACGCTCTGGATTGATGCAAAGCGCTTCAAGACATCGTTTGTTAGTGCATGAATCTGCTCGATCATCATCCCATTCGAGCGCACTCGCTCGGCATGCAAGGTGCAGCGAGACAAATACTCGTTCCTCAGATGCTCATCACACTCGTACCAAGGGCAGAAGTAGTGGCCTCCAGACTTGGTCCCTTTCTTGATTGCTGTACTAATTGCAGCCATTCCACTAAACTGCCTGTCCTCTGCAGCCTCCTTCATGTCTTTAAAAACTTTGACAATATGGCTTCTGTCAAGGGCAATCATGGCCAAAAGACCCTTCTTACTGGTTCTGCTTATCACTGTGTCACCAATGTCCTGCACGGTGTCATCAGGTAGAGTCCTGTCCAGCTTCGCCCAGCGGAAACCCTGGTAAATTGTCCGCTTGTCGATGGCGATCCTGATCAAGTTGGCTGCAGGAGCAGCCCCCTCAGCCTGCCTTGCTGCTTCAGCGCACCCTGGATAGGTTGCAAGAAGCTACTTACCATCACTCGAGTATCTCTGGATCTTGTCCCCACGTCTCTGTGTATAACGACGGTCGTCTGGCGGAGTGTAATATGGGATGGGTTCCTTGACTTCTGTGCCAGTGAGGTTGCTTTGCAGCAGGCTGTTCTTGTAGCGTAAAAGCTCAAGCTCTACGAGCTGCTCCGTTGTTGCACGATCATTATAAGTTGTCTGATGTCGCTTTGCAATCTGGACAGCAAGTTCCACTTGCTCAGAATTCATCTTGAACACCTCCCGGTTCGAGTAGTGCCCGTTATGGATAGGTTGCTTGTACACGTGCTCAGCAATGCGTGGATGCCCTTGCAGGAACTCCTCGAACTGGCGGTACAAGCTGACCTGGAAGACCTCAAAGATCTGCATTGCTCCAAACTCTCTCTCCAAGCCTACTGCACGGTCCTTGAGGTCCTTCGTACTCCCAATCTTGATCAAAGACTTGGAATTTGGCTCGTCCCGTATCTTGCCAAAGTACACCAGACAGTCCCCCTTCTTGAAAGCATTGATGAGGGTGGTATGTCGAGCAGCATCCGTTGCTGCCTTTGAAACCTTTGCCTGCTCAACAAGAAGCTCTTCAATCTTCTGTGCTGCCGCTGCTTCTGCAAGGCGTGTAGCTTCCTTGGCCTCGTACACTGCAGCCTCTAGATCGTAGTGGCCCTTCTGACGGATCGTCTCGATCACCTGTACCACCCACTTCTGGAACGGTCTTGCTGCTGGCTTGCGGGACTGCATGAGCAGGCGGTACAACCCACGCTCCGTCAGGTAGGTCGTCTCTTGCATACCACCGAGGGAGTCAACGGTCTTTACGACCTTCTCGTCCTCATCATAGCTTTGGAGTGTTGCCCGGATGTTGGTCATGCCCAGCACCGTGCCAATGTCATTTGCCTTGAACATAGGTCGCATGCCATCCCACACGATGTCCACTTTGTAGCTGGTGCCATCCATCACAAAGGCCTTGAGAACGTCGAGCTCGTGTACCATGTTTGCTTGTTACCTCAGTCCGTGGTTAAAAACAACGGTATTTAAACGCGCCTCCTTAGCCACCCGGTCTCTGCTGCTGGCCGGTTTCACGCGCGCCTCCACCCAATCCTTCTTGCAGCTTTCCCAGCTCGTGTGGTGTAATCGTAGTGGCCATACCTGTACCGCTTGCCACCGCTCCTATCCAGGACGAAACCTGACTTCACGCCCTTGGGAAATGGGTATGGCTTTCTCCTCGGGGCGTAACCATCAGGGCCCTTAACCAGCCTCCACAGCCCCTTGGTGTCCTTTGTATAAGCCCGACCTCGAGGGCTGTGACCGGATGCTGTCAGCAGGCTGTTAAGCTTCAGCTGCCTCGTGGAGCGGCCTCCCTTGCGAGGTACGCCTGGCGAAAGGCGCCAGACACCGGTCTTTGGGTTCTGGACATAGTGCCTGCCCCCCGTGCTGGTCGCGAACCCCGGGCGGGACATGGTGAGCCGCCTCAGAAGCTCCTGCTGCCTCTTGGATGGCTCTCTCTGGCGCTTTTGCCGCGTGCCTTTGCCTGCAACGGGCGGTGAGCGTTTTGGGACCGGTGTCCGCGGGGGCAGTGAGACACGCTTCCTGCCCGGTATCATCACCGGGACGGAGCTATTTGTTTTGTACCGGATGACTTGTGGGGGTGTCTCTCTGAAACGCACGCGCTTCCCCCCTTTGCGCAGCACCGGGACCCCACTCGAGTGCGCGCTATGGTAAGAGGATGCTGACTTCTGCTGGCCCCATGCCTTTGCCCTGTTGGCACTCAGAGTTGGTTTGTCCTCGGCGGCAACAAGTGTCCGAAAGTAGCGCGCAGCCTTTGCCTCTGGGTTGTACCAATCATACCTGCGGCCAGCCTGGATGGCATTCACGTTCATGCGGAGCCCCGTCTTCTTGTCGTTCCAGAGCGTGTTCATGTTAGCCCCCTGATCAAGGGCGGTCCTGACTTGCGTTGCCCTTGCTTTGGGCAGTATCAGGGCGTACCCGAAATCGATGATTGTCACCTTCTCCGACTTCTCGTCGATGAAGATGTTGGCTTCGTGCAGGTCCGCATGGACGACCCCTAGGAGCCAGAGCGTGAGGATAGCCCTCTCGATGAGTGCGTACTCGAAGCCCGTCAACCTGTTTGAACGCCGAGTCAGGAACTCTCGGAGCACAACGCCTGGGGCCTCACCCATGACTGTGATGAAAACCATCCCCTTCTCGCCTCCGTCCAGGAGGCCCGCATAGAAGATGGGCGGCACGACCTCGCTGCCCCGGACCTTTGCACCTTGGAAGGTCGTCTCTTGGCTGTGGATCCATGCCTGCATCTTGCACTCCATCCGAGCAGCAGCAATGTCGTCAAACTTGTCCAAGCGGTGGACCTTGATGATCACCTTTTGTGGAGCGCTTTGTGGATTGCCAATAACGTCAGATGACAGGGATGCAAAGAACTGTATGTGGGACGCCTCTGAGACATTGGTGGCGCGATACGCAAGGCCGTGAGCTCCAGCCGACAGGAAGCTGAGCTTTCCGCCTAGCCTCAGCCCTCCAAGCACCTTTTTCCCCTCCTCTTCCGTGGGCCTGAAAGCAGACGGTTTCAAGTGGCCGGTAGATGGCATGGTGGCATTCAGAAAGGGGAGGGTGACCGTGTTGCGCTGCCCTCTCTCACGTGCCCAGTGGCTGTACGGCCCTCCTCCTGCTGCTGCGCTTAGGCTCATTGTGATATATCTGCGAGAGATAATGATCCACGTTCGTGCCAGGCACTTTCGATTTTATTTTCTCGCTGTAGTGTATTGGCGAGCATGTCAGGAGGTCTTCTCTCTTTGGTGGCTCAGGGCGCTCAGGATGCTTATCTCACGGGGAGCCCCCAGATCACCTTCTTTAGGATCGTCTATCGCAGGTACACCAACTTTGCGCTTGAGGCCATCGAGCAGACTTTCAATGGCGCCGCAGATTTCGGACGCCGTGTTACAGCCACGATCAGCAGGAACGGAGACCTGGTCACGAACATGTACCTGCAGGTGACTCTCCCGGCGCTGACTTCCAACACAACGCATACGGAGCTGGGGTACATCAATGCGGTGGGGCATGCCCTGATGCGGAATGTGGAGGTTGAAATTGGTGGGCAGAAGATTGACAAGATCCCGTCCGAGTACATGGAGATCTACCACCAGCTGTCGATGCCCGAGGAGAAGAGGAGGGGTTACGGTGAGATGATTGGGGCCCCAAGCCTCAGTGACACTGTTCCCTCGTCCAACCGCACGGTAGCGGACACTGCTCTCTTAAACCAAAACACCCAGAGGACGCTTTATATCCCACTCATCTTCTGGTTCAACAGGGTTCCCGGCAACGCGCTACCGTTGATTGCCCTTCAATATCACGAAATCAAGGTCAATATTGAGTTCCGCCCTCTGAACGAGCTCTACAAGTCGAACGTGGCGGTCACTTTCAACCCTATTCCGTCCATTGTGAGCGCGTCTCTGTACGTTGACTATGTTTATCTAGATACGGACGAAAGAAGAAAATACGCATCCAGTTCGCACGAATTTCTGATAGAGCAGCTCCAATTTACCGGTTCGGACACTTGGAGTGGCGGTTCGGGCACCAGCAAGATCCGAATGTCCTTCAACCACCCCGTTAAGGAGCTCATCTGGACCGTCACGCCCAGCGACAGTGCGACCGCTGACCCCGTCAACGGCAATCTGTGGTTTGACTGCGGCGAGCAGAACGGTGGCACGGACCTCATGACCACCGCCAAGATCCTGCTCAACGGCCACGACCGCTTCCAGGAGCGGGCCGCGCCCTACTTCCGGCTGGTGCAGCCCTACCAGCACCACACCAGGATCCCCAACCGCTTCATCTACGTCTACAGCTTCGCCCTCAAACCAGAAGAGCACCAACCTTCGGGTACTTGCAATTTCAGCAGGATCGACAACGCTGCGCTCCATCTGGGGCTCAATACGGAGGACCCCGCCAAGATCTCTGTATATGCAGTGAACTACAACATTTCACGTATCACGTCCGGTATGGCAGGGCTTGCGTACTCGAATTAGGTATGGCCGGTCTGGCTTACGGCTCTCACAACGCTCAGGATATGGCCGGTCTCGCACACACACTCACGTTTGTTCCTTTCCTTATATGTTATGGTCGGCACGGGTTTTTGTTTGTGGAGTCACAGCTCGTGCAGCATAAAAGATAATACCGGTTGTGATATGTTGCGTCCCAAACTTTGCCCACCCGCATCTGATCTGCAGATTGAATACTCAATGGCAATGCAACTTGCTCCTGAGGATTCTTCAATTCGTGATCGCCCGTTCTTTCTCTGTCCGTCTCTGATGAACCCGTGGATCGGCAGTGTCCTTTTCGTGATTAAGTGAGAATGATTCCGGAAAGGAGTGCAGCACGTATTGTGTTGCTTGCAAATCACACTGCCACTCTCATCACGCCCATGGAAGAGAGGGCGAACTACCACTTATTGATTACAAACCCATAGATACATGATAGCGACATACTTGTGACCAGATATACATAATCATAAAATGATATTGTGAACCTTGTCTGTCAAAGCTGTTGTAGTGCCGGTGCGCGTCGAGCGGCGGCACTGAGAGTCTTTCCGAGAGCCAGATTGGAGATGAGGCGTCAATGACTGCTGCGGTAATATAGGCAGCGTCTGTCGGTTAGCTTGCAGAGCAGTCAGGCTCGAGCTATCCATCATGGAGCTGGCCGATCGGTTCAGAGCACTCTAGGTGCCAGCCTGCTAGCTCTTTCTGCTTGTATTGGCCGTGGAGATCTTCTCACAGCCGCGGCTTTCGGTCGCTTCGTTGACTTCTGAGGTGCTGAGGCACTCACTACTTGACGTCGAGTTAGCTTGGCCGACGCACGATTATGCGAATGGATGTCGTACTTTTTCGCTTTGGAGTCCAATACACGAGATGCATGCAGCGAAAGTGCAGATTGGTGTAACTGCAGGGCAAGCAGAAAGGCATATACATGGCATAGCATTTTCTACCAGTTCATTGCCTTATGAGGGAGTTCTCGTGATCTACATGGTTATCTACATATCTTAATTTACCAGCTCCTGAGCAAGGGTCCACGTGTACACCATAATCCTACTTTCAAGGTCCAGAAGGCGTGAGCCTGAGCTTGCTCAGCTTTGGCGCCACAGCCGTCACACCTGCATCAATGGTCTTGTTGAGCACCAAGGCTAAGGCGATGAGGAAAGGTCCTAGAACTAGCCAGGCTGAAAAATACAAGGGGCCCCATCTCAAGATCTTGATTACCCCAGATTGACGAATCTTAGTCTCCTCAGTTTGCTCAGCTCCAGCGCCAGGGCCACCTGGCCCGCATCACTAAACTTGTTGGATCCCAGATTGATAGAGCTGAGCCCCGTCAGCTTGTCCATCTCCAGGGTCAGGGCGTCAATACAGGCATCTCCAAGTTGATTGTTCTGCAGGTTCAGGGAGAGGATCCAGGATAGCTTGCCCAGCATTGGTGCCAAAGCTATCAAGCCAGCATCTCCAACATTGTTGCTGTGCAGGGATAAGGAGGTGAGCTCCTTCAACTTGCCCAGCACTGGAGCCAGCGCCACGGCACCTGCCTCACCAATTTGGGTGGCTGTTAGGTCCAGGTCAGTGAGCCCAACGATCTCATCCAGATTTGCCAGGCCTGTTGCCGGAACATCGTTGACTGCTAGGTACAAATTTTCAAGCTTTGTCAACTTAACCAGCTCCGGCGCCAGCGCTGTCCACCCCGCCTCCCAAAGGTAGGTGCCCGACATATCTAAGGAGGCAAGCCCTATTAGTTGGCCGAGAGCGGGAGCTAGGGCTTCTATGCTTGCAGCCTTCACAGCGCCACTCCTGAAAGCTGGGAAAGCATGATCCGCTGTCACATCAAGAGCTAGTGACGGCGCCACCACGTTCAGAGGATGGACAAGGTTACTCAACAGTATGGCAGGGATGGCGACATCATTGTTCTGAAGGGCAAGCGACATGAGACCAGTCAATTTGCCCAATTCCAGCATCAAAGCCGCCGCCCCTACATCCCCAACCTCATTGCTACTTAGGTCCAGGCAGGTGAGCTGTGTTAGCTGGCCCAGCACTGGCACCAGCGCCTCCACACCTACATCCCCAATTTGGTTGCTATGAAGGCAACCAGGATAGCGCGGTCAGCTTGGCTATTGCAGGCACCAATGCCAACATGGCCGTCTCCCCGGTCACACTCTTTCCTAACTCGGGGATGGTGAACTGCCCCGTCAAGTTGCCGGGAATCAAATCAAGCGACCCCTTCAAGACCTCGCTGCCCCTGACGGCCAAAGAAGAGAGCATGGAGAGAGAACTCAGAAACATGAGATGTTGCTCAATCTGATGTGGGCCTGTTTCGCAACTGGTCCCATAGAACGTGAGGTCGAGCTTTTCGATCCAAACCCCTGTTTTGTGGGGCTGTTCAAGTGAGTTTCTGACCAACAACTTCAGGTATGTGAAAAGATGCTCCCATGGTGTTCCTATATCCACCCGAAACCGAAAACACCCACAGCTTCTGAAGAGTTGCTTGAACCTCTTGCAGGACAATTCCAGATTCATGCTCTGGTTTGTCGATCCATCGCCCCAAGCTGATTGTTTGAGAATCCTTGTCAGCAGCTCGTCCGGTAGAGCCTCCACGTACACTGTTGGGAAGAGACGCCACTACTAGCACTTGTAGCAATACCTCTTAGCGACCGCCTCTCATTGCCAGCAATGAGGCTCTCTTTCAACACATGTTGGCGCAAAAATAAGGTTAAGGCGGGTACTTGCCCCAAAAGTGGAGTTGTCGGAGGGCCGCTTGAAATATCAGGATAGGATGCGCGGATTTTATCCGTCCGATCTTTTTGTTGCACATGAGCTAGTTTGACAGACGTCGATGCATTGGATATTTCTACTGGTTGTAAGGTCGTTGGGAGGTTATTACTCCACGGCCATAGCACTTTTTGGCAACGGGCTTGTCGAAAAGGGGTCCTCAAGGAGCAACATCCACTGCCAGATTAAACTGGAGGCCTAACCGCTTCATGATTACAAACTTGGTTACAGTGCTTATTGCGAAAGGTCGTAGGAATGCAATATCATCTAGTTGTCAGGAATACGACCGAAGTCACAAGGTTGCACGTGCCCGATCCCCGCGAGTGAGAGCATCCGCCAGAGAATTGTCGGCGGAAGAGATGTATGTGCTAGTAAGCCGAAATTTGTAACAATCGGAGAGCCAAACAGAATCAGTAAGCAGGATGGTGCGTTGGACAAGCCAACTCAATGCAAGCTATATGGGTAACAACGAGGCTACCACCATAATGAGGTTGACCGTCAAGCCGGGAGGGCATCCCACCGGAGTTAGTTGCACGACAGAGAGCGAAGTAACAACGATTCACTTCACTTGATATTTCTGGGAAACAACACTGACACCCATGGTCTAGTGCTGCACAAGCACAAATGGGATCGCCAGGTAATAGCAGAATCATAGCCAGGAAAACCCTCAAACATGTTCTGGGCTTTTAAGACTGGGCAAGTGGTGTACTGCCATTACATGCGCAGCAGTCCATGGGGCATTTGCTTTGAGGAGCCAATTCACCCTATGAAAGTAGCCCGTGCAAAGCTGCATGGCTCAGAGCATCCACGCACATTTGCATTCCTTTCGAGCATTGGAGATGGGCCATACAATGCAGCAACTTGAGGTGCCCGGAATTGCACATTGCTTGTTGGTCTCAACAAAAGTTTTGAGAATACAAAAGAGCAACGAAGTAGGTACATCCAGCTTCTACAATGTCGGCGCTGACAAAAAGTAAGTCTCGTATGCAAGGGCCCGTGTTCAAGATCAACCTAACACTCTCTGAATCTGGGTACACAAAGCTGCTACACTGAGGAGTATTTACATCTGGTTTGGCGAGTGACTTATACAGAAACCCGGCCTACTCTAACCACCTACAACTTGCCGACACCCTCAAATTTGAAATCCTCAAAAATCAAGAGCTTTATGTACAAGCCCTCTCTGATTGTCTGCTTGGTGATTCAGCCGCAAACAAAGGTGCTCCGAACTGTGTTCTCCGGGATATATGCGAGCGTAATTTGCGCCCTGCTCGCTATCTTGCTGACTTGTTTGTAGAACACCTCGAGCTGCAGGTGAGATTTCATGTAGTTGCAGTCTCCGCAAGCTGCCCTGGTGTTGAGAGGAGAGTAACCCTGCTTGTTGTCGACCCTGTCAACCCCATTGGTATGCACACCCTCAATGTTCTTCTTCCCGCAGATGTAGCACGGCTGTCGGACGATGTCTTTGAATTGGTCAGCAGAGAGCTCGAAGGGACGTCCGGGCTCTTTTGCAACCAGTTTGTACACTGCAAACTGTCCTGCCCGGTGGTGGTTTCCGAACAGTTCAGACGGGAAGTCAGATCGGACCCCTCCCTCCTTGACCTCCTGGATGTAGACGCATCTCTCAACGAAAGTCCGCGCGTCCACTTTCTTCTTCATCTCCCAGCAGTTGGTGCAGGTCGGCACGCAGTTGTCTGCCGTCCACCCCAGCGACAGATCCAGCCGGTGCACTCCAAGTGGCTTCTGGTCCGAGTGCTCATCCCCGCAGAAGAAGCAGCACGAGTCCATCTCCTTGATCAGCTCCTCTGCGGTCTTGCTCTCCGGCTCTTCTTCTCCTTCAAAGCTGATGACGCGCACGCGGTTCCTGTGACGCGCCTGATCGGCTGCCCCCTTCGCCAGGTACCCCTCCGGGTCAGCAGCCCGGCGGCGTGCGCGCGAGTCCTTGCTGTACTGCGCCCACCTCTCCGGGTTCGCCTCCTTGCGGGCCAGCTTGGACGCCTTCCTGGCCGGGGTCTTCTCGTACTCGCGCGCGCTCCATGTCCGCCTCCGTCCTCGTCCTCTTTCCCCCGGGAAGTTTGGCCACGTAAGTCTGGCGCTTCTTGCGGCACTCGCTGCACCACCCCGCCCGCTTGCTGGTCTCCTCAAAGGCGAAGTCGGAGGGGTCCTTGATGCCGCAGCACTTTGGGTTCATGCACATCTTCTTGGTAACTCCCAGCTCCCGCAGAGCGGCGATCTCCGCAGCAGCCTTCTCCCTCTTTGCAGCAATGAGCTTGTCGTCCGACTCCTTTGCCGCGTTCCGGCAGGGCTCGCACGTCCTGAACTTGCAGTCGGGGGGCAGCTCCTTCTGGCAGCGATCCTTGCCACGGTACACGTTCGCACACACCCGCCCACCGCGTTCGGTGATGGCAGCCAGCTCCCCGTCCAGCTCGTGCTTCTTGCAGTACTGGGAGTTGTCAGCAGCCTTGTTGAGGCAGGGTTTTCCGGACGACCGCACGATAGCCAGGCACGTGCCGGGCTTTCTTGCGGCCGGTGCGGCCTCTTCCTCGTCCACGATCTCCCCGTCCTCAGCCTCCTCGGAGTTGTGCACCGTCTCCTCCTCTGCAAATCAACACAGGGTGGTGCCTAAGTCACTCGCGCAAAAGCAGAGAATATATATCTCTCTCATAAAGTATCGCTCAAGATGTCCTCAAACTCTGGTTCCAACGTGTCAAGCAGCTCAAACGTGTCAAGCAGCTCAAATGATTCAAGCAGCTCAAACGTGTCCAGCAGCTCAAACGTTTCCAGCAGCTCCAACGTGTTCAGTTCTAGTGGTTCGAGTTCGCAACAGCCTGATAGCCTGATTGTATCTCAGCACCCCGAGCTTTTATGGCACACCACAAACTTCCCAAGAATCAGCTAATGAGGGCATGACTCACAGGCTTTCAAATGCTAGCAACGCTGCTGCGATGGTAGCCCCCAAGATAGCACCAGCCACCGAGCAACGAGCAGAAGTCACAAGGGCATCAGGCCAAGAAGCGTGGGTGATTCTTGAGTAGCTTTCCTGGTCTTCTTCGATGACCCTTGCTGCAAGTGGCACGCCTCCACCCAGGAGGGATGAGCTCAGTGCCCCTCTGAATATGTAGGTCGCACGCATTGTCATGCAAAAGGATCACAAAATTGGAAGACTTACCTCCCGCACTCTCATCCTCAGGTTTCTCTGGCTCCCTCTCCCGCTCACGCTGCGCCTGCTTGTACGCCCTGTACTCCTCGCGCAGCTTGATGCAGGGTTGGCAGGTGGTGCCTTCGTAGCCGTCAGGGAGCACCACCCAGCAACCGCGGGTCACGCTGCCATGCCGGCTGCAGGTCCGCTTCCCGGCCGCCTCAGCCTTCTTGGCCTCCTCCCGGCGGCGAGCCTGCTCCTGCTCGCGCTTCTGCGATCCTGCAACCGCAACCGCCTTCACCTCCTTGGCCCGCTCCCGGCACGACTTGCACCGGTCGGAGACTGGCTCTCCGCCTCCTTTTGCACGTCGCTCAGCCACAAAGTCAGCATCAGGCCGCTCCTGGTGGCAAGCGATGCACTCCTTGACGCCCTTCTTGGCCTTGGCCTTGTTCCTCTCTGCGGTGGCTGCGTCCCGCTCTGCCTTGTTGGCCAGGGAGCGCTCCCTGATCTTCTTGATGCATGCATCGCATGTAGACTTATCAAAGTCCAGGGGGAGCTCCGCCTTGTCAGAGCACTTTTGCTCACCGCCTCCGATGCAGAGCTTTACGCCACGAGCCGCTCGTTCTGCCTCCTCCTTCCTGCGGGTCTCCTCAAGCTCTGCAGACTTGTGGTGGATGTGGCACAAGCTCTTGCCTGCAAGCGCTTGGAGCGGGCATGGGAGCCCCTTTTTGGTAAGCTCACTGCAGGGTGCCATCGCTGTCTTATTCTCTCTGGATCACTACTTCTGTCAGAGCAACGTTTGCTCGATGATCCACAGAGGATTGGAGCTAAGACAGATACGACAACAAGGAAAATGACAGAGGCTAAGACGGCTATGCAGAGGAGGATGCGAAGTGCCCTCTGCATCAACACTAGGCTGCAACTGCTGCCAGCTGCTGTGGATAGGCCTTATGGGGGCAGAGTGTGTTGGGTGATAGGTGAAAACTGGGAGAGCGGTTGAACTTGAATCCGAAAAGGCGACCAACGACCAGTGTAAGAATGAAGAAGGCGATGGAGGCTGCTACCAGGATGCTCTCATAGTCGAGCATGGCCAAGAGTAGGGAAGGCTGAAATCGAAGAATGCCAAAAGTAAGGGCTTGTTCTGACATTTATACTCTTTGCATACTTGGCCTCTAATGGCCAGAATGTGATAACTTAATGGCCTGAGATGGCGGGAGCAAGCGAGGGCTGGCAGCGGGTGGCGTGACTTCTGCAAATGGACTTTAGTTTTTACCAAAAGTAGAAATTCTCACAGTTTCTGACACAATTCTCGACCCTCTCCACAGAGATGGCAGGCATGGCTTGCTCAAGCTTAAATCCACTCAGCAGCCCCATACTTATCTGCAAGCCTCGGGTTCGTGCGTTGGGTCCAGTGGTCCCATGCAAGACGTTCATGGAGCCTTACAGGGGCTACTCAAGCGTTTTTAAGGACATAGGCAGCACGCTGTCCAGAGAGTTGAAGCTCACCTCTGCACCAAGCCAGCTCGGTTACGATGCGCTTCATCCAATGACCGAAGCCAGGGCCAAGAAGAGCGTCAACGAGAGTACAGGCATTGAGTACCTTTTGGAGCTGGAGGTCCGTGCTCCAGAATCCAATGATGCAGCCTTCAGGACCCTCGTCCACGCCCGTCCAGGCAGCTCCATCCCCGACATGACGATCGCCGCCTTCCTCCAGCCCGGGCTGAGCGCAAGGCTCTCTCTGGAGATGACCCCAGAAGTTGGGGACGCTCCGGCAGCACTTGCACGCTTCTTTGACCAAGCAGATAAGCTAGCCATCCTCAACCCACAGGCCGTCCAGCAGAACATCAGGAAGGGCCGGGTCGGGTTCCAGACAGCCTCTCCCCTGCAGGACCTGCCCACCTTCGAGAAGCTAGCCTGGAGCTTTGTCAAGGAGTGGCTGGTAGTGTCAAGAGGTGGTAGAAAAATAAGGTAGATGCGTGCAGGCTCTACAAACAAACCTTGTGGAACATGTAAAACCGGTTCTATTCCTGCCCGCTTGTTCCCTTTGCAGAGAGTGCATTCCTCCTCGACGATACGCTGATGGTTGCAACTTTTTGCCATGTTGTTATTTGCCGCATGCACAACTGTTTTGTCAGTCCCTTGGTGCCTGTGATTACTTAACCTTACCACACACCTGCCCATGAGACGAGTAGTCAACCAGCATGCAATACCCACGCCTCACATGCCTATGTTGATACCCATGCGGCCTGGGCATCGCGGATCAAAGCCAGAAGTTAGCACGTCGCGGCCGGTCCGCAACAAGGGACCCTATTTGACGGTTAGTGGCAACCGTAGGGTTTCAATTGAAACCGCGCGGCTTGTTGACGTAATTACGCAGTTTTGATCCAAGCGTACTGCCTTCACTAATTGGATGACTGGCCGTGACCTTAAGGTTGGAAGGGCTTCTGGGTTGCTA